TCAGTCTGTGACTCCCTCTCTCTCTGACCCTCCCCTGCTCACGCTGTCTCTCTCTCTCACTCCTAGAAATAAATAAAAATATTTAAAAAAAATAAAATAAAAATAAATAAAAAAAGATGATCCTAAAATAATTTTTAAAAGATGATCTCATTAGGGGTGCCTGGTGGCTCAGTCAGTTGAACGTCTGACTTTAGCTCAGGTCATGATCTCATGGTTCGTGGGTTCAAGCCCCACTTCGGGCTCTGTGCTGACAGCTCAGAGCCTGGAGCCTGCTTCCGATTCTGGATCTCCATCTCTCTTTGTCCTTTCCCTGCTTGTGCCCTGTTTTTGTCTCTCTCAGAAAGAAAAACATTAAAAAAAAAAAAGATGATTATATTTGGATGATTTTTTCCTACTCATTCACTCTACTACAATAAATAAATTACAAATATGAAATTCTGGTTGCTTCCCAAGGTTGAATGCTACCTGGTCATGGTATTTGGTTTGCTTGATAAATTGCTGGATATATTTTATTGCTATTGTCTTTGAGCTTTTTCCTAGTTTACGAAAGAGATGAATCTGTGGCTTTTGTTATATTGCTGCTATCATAGAGGGCTGTTGGTTCCTGTATCATGATGAAAATAGCTTCAGAAAATTCACTGGAACACTTATTTTCATGCGCTTCCAAATAATGTTTATTTATTGCAAATAGGCCTTGTGAGATTTCAAAATTAGTAATTTGCGTCCTTTCTGGGAGGTAAAGCTGGCTGATGATTCAGTTTCTTCTTGGATGATTGGTCCATCATATATTTTAAATGGGCAAGTAGAAAATATCAGGGCATTACCATAGTTAATGGAAATTATACACAGACCGTAGCCTTTCTTTTTATGTTTATTTATTTATTTTTGAGAGAGGGGGAGCACACCTGTGTGAGCAGGGGAAGGGCGGGGGGAGGGGGAGAGAGAATCCCAAGCAGGCTCTGTGCCATCAGCACGGAGCCCAATGAGGGGCTTGAACTCACAAACCATGAGATCATGACCTGAGCTGAAATCAAGCATCGGACACTTAACCGACTGAGCCATTCAGGCACCCCTGGACCCTAGCCTTTTTAACCTGTATTATTAAAATAATAATAAAAATTATGCTTTTATTATAAAAACATTTAAAAGTAAAGTATGAATCAACTCAAAGAAGCCTGAGAAGGCTAAGGCAGAGTGACCAAGTGTCAGCACAGTTGAACAACTGAGCTTTGAGTGTGAAATTCATTTCCGCAGGTTGGTTTTCCAGCTGGTGGCGGCAACACGGGGATCTGGTGGCATTTGGAAACCCCAAATTAACAAGCAAGCAAGAAGACACCACTAAGTAAATAATTCTCTCCTCTATGCTTGAATACTGAGAACAAACTGAGGGCTGATGGGGGTGGGGAGAGGGGAAGGGGGGAGATGGGCATGGAGGAGGGCACTTGGTGGGATGAGCACTGGGTGTTATATGGAAACCAGCTTGACAATAAACTATGAAAGGAAAAAAAATAATTTTCTTCTCAATATCGGGTTCAAGGTAAAGATGATTATGTCTCTGGGATGTCTGTTGGCTACCAATTTAGTCTCACTTCTTGTGTTCTTAGCAGACACTCCTTTACATGGAGCCAAGAAACTACTCAAGGCTTCCGATGTTTCTCCTCCTGGGACTTTCTGAGAAGCCAGAGATCCAGTTTGTTCTCTCTGGGCTGTTCTTGTCTTTGTACCTGGTCACGGCCTTGGGGAACCTGCTCATCATCTTGGCCATCATCTCAGACTCCCACCTCCACACGCCCATGTACTTCTTCCTTTCCAACCTGTCCTTTTCAGACATCTGCTTCACCTCCACCACCGTCCCAAAGATGCTGTGGAACATCCAGACGCAGAGCAGAGTCATCACCTACACAGGCTGCGTCACGCAGATGTATTTTTTCACAGTTTTTGGGCTTTTGGACAATTTACTCCTGACTGCAATGGCCTATGATCGCTTTGTGGCTGTCTGTCATCCCCTGCACTACACAGTCATCATGAACCCTCGGCTCTGCACCCAGTTGCTCGCCCTGACCTGGCTCATCAGCGTTCTGGGGGCCCTTCCCGAGAGCCTAACCATGCTGCGGCTCTCCTTCTGCACAGTGATCGAAATCCCACACTATTTCTGTGAACTCCCTGAGATCCTGCAGCTCGCCTGCTCCGATACCTTCATCAACAATGTCGTGTTATATATTGTGACCGGCATGATGGGCTTCTTTCCTCTCGCGGGGATCCTTTTCTCTTATTCTCGAATTGTCTCTTCTGTGCTGAGGATCTCCACAGCGGGAGGAAAGTATAAAGCATTCTCCACTTGTGGGTCCCACCTCTCAGTGGTGTCCTTGTTCTATGGGACCTGCCTGGGGGTCTACCTCAGTTCCACCTGGACACACGGCTCCCAGACGGGGATGTTCGCATCGGTCCTGTACACCGTGGTCACTCCCATGATGAACCCCTTCATCTACAGCCTGAGGAACAAGGACATGAAGCGGGCCCTGAGAAAGCTCCTCTGTAGCATGTTGTCCTCCCAGTGACAACAACAATGACCCTGTGCCTGGACAAATGTGATCAGGGGCAATGGAACAGAGCGCTTAGTAGTGAGGACACTGAAATTTTCCTGACTGGGTTTAAATGCTGGTGCCACCCTTCAGTAGATGGTGATCTTGAGAAAAACGCTCAGCCTCCATGTGCCTCAGTTTCTCCATAGACCTCCAACAATGCCTGTCTCATAAGGTTGATGAAAGGATTAAATGGAATAATGTGGTAAAGCTCCAGCACAGGGAATGCTGGCGGCAAGTCCTAAGCAAATGTCAACTATTGTTACCAAAAAAAAAAAAAAAGCTATTTTTCTTATGATGCTTCAGTTTTTTGTTCCCATACCATTAAGCTGGTTTCTCTTCCTGTGCACTGTCCCCCATGATGGCTAAGTCATAAAGCTCAGTGCCCCCGGAAGGAAAGAGACTTTGATGCAGGGCAGAATTTCTCAACTTTGCCATTATTGATATTTAGGGTTGGATCATTCCTTGCTATGGGGCCCTCCTGTGCATTGTAAGATGTTCAGCACTATCTCAGGCCTCTAAACACTAGGTGCCAGTAGCATTGCCAGTCAAGGTGCGATAATTAAAAATGTTTCCAAATGGGGGCACCTGGGTGGCTCAGTAGGCTAAGCATCTGACTTCGGCTCAGGTCATGACCTCACAGTTCGTGGGTTCCAGCCCTGCATCGGGCTCTGTGCTGACAGCCAGCTCAGAGCCTGGAGACTGTTTCAGATTCTGTGTCTCCCTCTCTCTCTGACCCTCCCCTGCCCACGCTGTCTCTCTCTCTCTCAGAAATAAATAAAACATTAAAAAAATTTTTTTTAAATGTTTCCAAATGCCCCATGGAGGTCAAATCACTCCCACTTGAAAACCACAGAGGAGTGTCTTCCAGAGAGGAAAAGAACAGATGAAAAATCTCCAGGTGTAGAATCTCAAGGGAGTGTGCTAAAGGATGAAAGGAAATAAATGGGGGGTGATGTCTGTCATCTCTCGTTTGGGAATCTTGGGAATTAAGGACACATTGTTTGGTCCTGCCTAAAACGGGGTTGCTGTAGGAGAAGTGGAGTGTCTATGCAGTGTGATCAACCTGAAAGGAACACCGGGTTCCAAGCTCAGCCTCCTTGGCTCATATGGGACTCCACGGGTCCCCTAGAAGGGTCACAGGGTTTCCAATGACCCAAAGAGAGACAAAGAAGGCTGAGCTAAAACATCCTCAGGTTGGAAGCTACCCCTGGGATGAGAGGTCAGATAATGCTACCCAGTGTCTGTCATGGACAGCCGCGGGATAAACGGAAGACTCGTGGTGATAAAGGTTCAGCAGGGCTGGAAGGGGCTGAGATGGGGTTGGACCAGCAGCTCAGGGGCTGGTCACAGAGGCGACCCACACCAGGAGAGCAGAGTAAAGGTTCATTCGCCCTGTCGTGGGTAAAGGCTACCATGAGAGGTCCCTTGAAGGCTGCCCCGGCCAACGACAGTCAATTCAAGTGGCAGGTTCAGTGACTCTCATTTTCCGGTTGTTATTATCATTATAATTATTGTGTGGCAGTGGGCTGACAGCCAGAGGGATCAGATATATATATATATATCGGATCAGATATATAAAATAAACACAGCATAAAATTTACTATTTTAATCCATTCAAAGTGTGTAATTAAATATATTCACAGTATCGTGCTGCCATCACCACTATGGAGTTTCAGGCCATTGTCATCACCCCAGGGAAGACCCTTCAACCCTCAGCAGCCACTTCCCATTTCCTTTCCCCTCCAGAAACCACCAATCTGCTTTCTGTCTCTGTGACTCGTCCACTCTGGGTATTTCATATAAGCGGAAGCATCCAGTATATGACTTTCGTGTCCGGATTCTTTCACTCAACCTAATGTTGTCAAGGTTCATCCACGTTGTAGTGTGAGTCAGTGCTTTGTATCTTTTCATGGCTGATGAACAGGTAGGCTAAGTGTGCTGTGTTCATATGATGGGACCAGACTTTCATATACCAGAGAAAACTCTGTTCTATTCCCTCAAAGCAGGGGATGACCTCGACAATGATTTGTTCGTTCTTATTCACTTTAACCAATGGCTCCTCAGAGCCTTTTTTGTGGACTGCCTCCCTGTGGCCTACGCAGTTCTGATCTCAGTCTCTTTTCCATTTTGACATCCACCATTCTCATAATTATATTTGCAGCAAGATGCTCCTGGGAGCTGACTTCAGGACAATCTCCAGGGATCCAGATATTCACACACACACACACACACACACACACACCTCCCCATGGGCTCTCCTCCCACACTGAATAGGGCGGGCCTTTGAAGCCAATAGGATATGACAGAAATGACAGTGTGACTTCCAAAGCTAGATTACAAATGACACTCAGGCTTTGCCCTTTGCTCTCCCCTCACTGTTGTTCTCTGAGGGAATCTGATGGCCATGTTGTGAGGACACTCAATCCACCCCGTGGAAAAGCGGGCGTGGTCAGGGGCCGAGGCCTCTTGCCAACAGCCAGAAGCTCATCCTCCAGACCACACTGGGCGTTCCAACGTCGGCCACACCAACCAACACTCAACCTGCAAGGCCATGAGAGACCTGAGACCGGAACTTCGGTGAAACCATTCCTAAAATCCTGACACAAAGAAACAATGTTGACCACTAAACGTTGATTGGAGCTCTAAGCCACTTAACTTTGGGGGACTGTTTTATGCATCAAGAGAAAGGGAGTCTCCAGAATCTCAGATAATCCCATAGGACTCTCAAATATCTTTCTTTCCCACGATTAATACATCACCTTCTTCTGGATCAGCTCCACGAAATAAACATATAAGACACGTTTGGTACCCAGGACGGAAGTACCGCCTTGGGAGTCTGCGCAGATGCCGTGGCTGAGAAGTGGGATGAGGCCGCCTGTGTCCTGTCCACCCTCACCCCCTGGGGCTCACCCCCGACCACCCTGTCACGCCTGCAGTGGTGCACGCCCTCACGGCAGCCAAGTCCTCGTGTGGTGTCTGGTCCATCAGCAGGCTTACAGCTGGTCTTCACAGAAACGGAGCACACAGCCCAAAGCAACTGTAAATAAATAAGCTGACTTTGTGTGTCCCAGAGGTGGAAAGAACGAGAACTCCCTCATAGCTCCCCCGATGTCCAACAGAGCAAAGCAATTCCTGACAAGAATATGGCCTTCTCCCGTAGAGTATTAGAGAAAGGCCTGGATTATGTCTCTGATATGAAAAATTAAAAATCTGTACATTCATCACCGGATGTACTTTATCATATTGTAGTAAATCGTTCCTCAGATTCTGACTGAACACATATCCATAAGGAATAACCCCCCTTCCCACTCGGATGCTCCCCACTCTATTTCATTACTTTTAGTAGCATCATTTTTGTGTTTGAGTTACCCTGAGTCTGCAAAGGTTGTTTTTCAATTGCAATCCTCAAGACTGAAATCCATATTTCAGACATGGGATGGTGAGGCTATACTATAGGTGATCCGGAGGTGGGGGGTGAGGGGGGAGGATTCCTGGCTGGCTCAGTTGGTGGGGCAATGCCACTCTTGATCTCGAGGTTGTGAGTTCAAGCCCCACCTTGGGTGAAAAGAATACTTAAAAATAAAATATTTAGGGGCTCCTGGGTGGCTCAGTTAGTTAAGCGTCCAGCTTCGGCTTCAGTCATGATCTCACGGTTCGTGGGTTCGAGTCCTGCATCGGGCTCTGTGCTGACAGCTCGGAGCATGGAGCCTGCTTCGGATTCTGTGTCTCCCCCTTTCTCTCTGCCCCTCCTTCACTCATGCTCTGTCTCTCAAAAATAAACAAACATTTTAAAATCTTTTTTAATAACAAAATATTTAACCCTTCATCTTCCTTGTTCCTGCCTGGAATGTGGCTGTGATTGTTGGAGCTCCAGTCACCATTTTGTGACACGAAGTGATCTTAAATTTAGGAAGCCCAAGTTTGAACAGCAGGTAAGTTCTAGAGCCAAGCCCTGGACTTGTGATTCTAAAACTTATATTCTTCACCCTTTACAATCTTTTCCTTCTCAATACACACACACACACACACACACACACACACACATGAGATGGAAAACAGGGGAGCCATTGGTGTGAACATAGAGCTTCTTGTGTTAAGAAGACCCTGGTGAGTGCAGGGAAAGTGCTTGCCATGCAAGCTCAGCCCCAAGCACAGGGAGCAGACAGACCAGATGACAGCAATGCTTGTCTTACTGATGGTTCTAAAACCAAATTCTCAATTCTTCTCTATGATTGCAACCAGATAAAATTAGACAGCACCAGCGACTTGTAGATAGAAGGAAATAAATGGGGAGAAATGAGCAGACTAAGCCATGAGCCACCAGGAGAAATCAGAGGAGGAAATTTGCTTTGCTGGCATTTCTTTCCTTTTGCCAAGACCGTAGCAAAATGACATCCACTCTGCTCTGTGTCTGCTGTGTGTGGTCCCCGTGAGTTTCTGGCTCCATTTCTCTGTCACATCAGCTAAAGCCAAAGTGAAAATGCAGAGCATCTCACTCTGGAATGTCATCTGCACTTGGGACAATCTGCTCAGGATGATGAATCCATAAAGTGAGGGACAAATCAAGAGAGACACGCAGTCACCCTGATGGTCTGTATTTGGTGGACACCACATGCGTGCAGGGGAGGACACAGACAGGGTCCCACAGACAGCAGCCCCCACGGTGGACTCCAAGCAAGCCTCATAGAGGGATACCAGGTCCATGGCCAAAGTCAGCAAGGGGACGTGTTATCTCCTCTAGCATCTCTTCCTTGACTCGCTATTATCTCAGAGCCACATGTTCTCTCCTCTTTGCAAACGCGCTCCAAGTCCAGTGGACGTGGACGTGAAACACTGGCAAACCAAAGGAAAGAAAAGGTTAAATGTAAAAGATTCGGCCCATTATCTCTCGTGCTGCCAGACTTCTTGGGTCTGCAAAAGAGGCACAGCTATGACTTTTGATTGTGCTGTTCTGCCACCTAGAACATTGAAAT